GTAAACATCTTTCAAGCACTCTTTGCTTTCAGCCAACACCCATCTGACATCAGCAATGAGACCCCTTGTTCGATATCCTCTCCTGAATCCAGCTTGCATTTCTGGAAGTTCTCTGTCAATATACTGCTGCGACCGTTTTTGAATTATCTTCAGTAAGATTTTACCTGCTTGTGATATTAATAATATTGTTCGATAATTTCCACATTCTGTGGGATCACCTTTTTTGGAAGGGGTACAAATATGAATCTCTTCCAGTCAGTTGGCCAGGTAACTGTCTTCCAAATTTCTTGCCATAAACGAGTCAGTGCCTCCAATGTTGCATCCGTTTACTGAAACATCCCAGTGGGTATTCTATCAATTCTTGGAGACTTGTTCTTTGCCATTTCCTTCAGAGCAGCTTCCACTTCTTCCTTCAATACCACTGGTTCTTGATCATATGCCACCACTTGAAATGGATGAACATCGACCAATTCTTTTTCATACAGTGACTCTGTGTATTCCTTCTGTCTTCTTTTGATCCTTTCTGCATCATTCAATATTCTGCCCAGAGAATCTTTCCATATTGCAACTCGAGGCTTGAATTTTGTCTTCAGTTCTTTCAGCTTGAGAAATGCTCAGTGTGTTCTTTCGTTTTGGTTTTCTAACTCCATCCCTTTGAAATCTTCTGTCCAGCTCTTTTATCCTGTCATTTCTTCCATTTGCTTTAGCTCTTCTCCGTTTAAGAGCAAGTTACAGAGTTTCTTCCATTTTAGTCTTTTCTTTCTTTCCTGTCCTCCTAATGACCTTTTGCTTTCTTCACTGATGATGTTCTTGATCTCACCCCACATTTTGTCTGCTTTTCAGTCACTGGTGTTCAATGCGTCAGATCTTTTCTTCAGAGAGACCAAGATCTTATTTCGATTCTCACGGCCTTCTTTTAATTGTATTCAGCTTCAACGTGAACTGGCATATGAGCAATTGATTGTCTGTTCCCCAGTCAGCCTCTGGCCTTGTTTTGGTTAAAGACAGAGCTTCTTTCCACAGATGTAGTCGGTCTGACTCCTGTGTACTTCATCTGGCAAGGTCCATGTGTTTAGCCGCCACTTATGTTGCTGAAAAAGGTATTTGCAATGAGTAAGTCATTGGTCTTGCAAAATTCTATCATGCGCTCTCCGGGGTCATTTCTATTACCAAGGCCATATTTTCCAACTACTATTAAATTCTTCTTGGTTTCCAACTTTCGCATTCTAATCACCAGTAATAATCAATACATCTTGATTGTATGTTTAGTCAATTTCAAACTCCAGAAGGTGGTAAAAATCTTCAATTTCCTTGTTTTTGGCTTTAGTGGTTGGTGTATAAATCTGAATAATAGTCATATTAACTGGTTCTTCCTTGTAGGTGTATGGATATTATCCAATTACTCCTAGCACTGTACTTCAGGATAGCTCTTGAAACATTTTTTTGTGACAATGAATGTTACTTTGTTCCTCTACAATAATCATATGACTGTCTGGTTCAAAATGGCCAAAACCTGTCCATTTCAGCTCACTAATGCCTAGGATATCAATCTTTATGCATCCCATTTCATTTTTGACAATTCCCAATTTTCCGACACTTAGTGCATTCCATGTTCCGATTATTAACGGATGTTTGGAGCTGTTTTTTCCCATTTCGAGTCATTCCCCATCATCAAATGGAGGTCCCGAAAGCTTTATGACAACCACATCATTAAGGTCCACCACAGCCTGAGGAGGCAGCTCTTCCCCAGTCGTAATTTGAGTGCCTTCCAACCTGAGGGGCTCATCTTCTAGCACTGTATCGGACAGTGTTTCAGGGCTATTATTCATAAAGTTTTCCAGTAATAAATCAGACAGTATTTCACTGTTATTCATAAGGTTTTTACTGGCCAATTCTTTGAGAAGTGAATGGCCCTTTCTTTCTTCTGAGTCTGTCTTAGTCTGGAAGTTCTACTGAAACATGTCCACCATTGGTGACCCTGCTGGTATCTGAAACACTGCTAGCATAGCCTCTAGCCTTACAGCAACACGCAAGCCACCAACAGTATGACAAACTGACAGATGAGTAGTGGGTCCCCAGCCTAGGGGCAAGGATTTCCTAGGACCTTTGCCAGGACTTTCCTGCACACTTTCCACACCCTGTCCAGTCCTCAAGCCTTGGCCTTGCCAGGGCACCACCTGTCTGAAAAGCCTGTCAGGCGCTGGCCCTTTTATTGGGCTCAGGCCAATATTGCCCCACTCATACGTCCCCTGGCATTTAGGGAGCTCCATGGTCAGTTTCATGGTGCAGGACCCAAGTGCCTGTCAGCTTACCAAACAATGGTAAGCATGGCTCGGGAACTTACTCATGGGTACAAGCTCTTACAGATGTTTTGAAGTCTTACTTGTATCAGCTTCGTGGACACGAGAAGGTGTGGGTTCAAACCAAGCAAGCAAGGACCTCACACCTAACATCTCAGCAGGGCAGGGTCCATGCTTGGGATGAAGGCACCAGCTCTAGTGCTCTGGGGAGCCTGTTCCCAGACCAGAGCAGTAGTGTGGCCAAGCCCAAGAGGCAAAAAGGGGAACGAAGAGAAGATGTAGGAGAGGTGTGGGTTGGCCCAGCTGGGCCATGTGTGGACTTTATGCCCTCAGAGCCAAGCCAGGCTGAGTCTATTGGCGCTGGCATTCCAGGACCTAACCTAGTGAGATGAGGTTTGATAAAGATGCTTTAAAAACTGAGGTGGAATCAGACCTTATCTAACTTCAGGGGAGAAGGAGAATCAAGATCCGCAAGAGCGCAAAGCTGATCCCTATGAGGTGGAGGTCAGACATACCTTCCCCTTCTCCAACCTCGTAACCAATTTTGACAGCAGCCGTTCCTCCCTTGGCACTCTCTGCTTATCTCCTGGGTTCCAAAATTTGTTACAATGACCACACAGAACTCACAGACAATACTCACTATTATGGAGTTTATTAGGGAAGTGACAGGTTGAAATTCAGGAGGTTGAAATTCAGGATCAGAGTCAACTGAGGAGATTGTTCTTAATTAGGACAGTTTCTTGGCCATGCTCGCAGGCAGGCCTCTCTCTCAATCCTTGGCCTAGGCTCTGCCCTGCTCAGGCAAGTGTTACAAAGCTCTCTGGCTTCCTTAATAAGTGCCTGGAGGCACCCCACTCTGCCAGTGAGCCTTCTGTCCAAAAGTACCACTCTCTTACCATGTGGGTCACCAAGCCTAGCCTACCCTGCTGGTCCAGTGCCACCTTCAGTGTAACAGCTCATTCTCTCTCTATCACCTGGGTCTAAGAGGATCAGTGCAGGGATCCTGGGTCCAAAGGATGTATTCCAGCCCTGGCTCTTCTTGATGGTAGTGAGGTAGCCCATTGCTTCCTGGGATTGGCTCTCTTTAAGACTAGCAGGACGACAAAACTGACCACTCCCTCTGTACAGGGATTCCACACACCTTATTCATACAGCTCCACCCAAGCATGCCACAGAGTCACAAGATCATGGCTGCACCGCAGATACCAAGCGGGGCCTGGGCCGTGCCAGGTGACAAAGATGTTCTGAGGCTGAGCTCTGCCCTAAGCCCCCAGAGCAGCCAGAAAGGAAGAGGCCATGCTGATTCCACTGACTACAAAGCTGGAGCCCCTCCATGGAAACATGGGGTAATCCACATCTCTAATGTTTGCTTACTGATGAAAAAGGAGAATGAACAGCTTTTTGAGAGTCAATTCAAAGATGCACTCTGGACAGAGTCATTAAGAGCTAGGCCACAGTCCACAATCCTGCAGCACAAGACCCAGCCCTGCATTCCACATTGCCATGACCCGGGCATAAGGGATGGTTGTCTGAGGCGCCTGCTGCTTCTTATCCTGAAGCTGCCAACCCGGAAGAGGGGGACGCTGAGGCACACTCCACAGGGGATCCAGCAAAGGAGAGGAGTGCCAGTGGCCGCCTCCTCCATGTCCTCTCCTGGGCAAGGGCCTAAAGCCTCGTGCACACCCTGTGTCTGCCCCCCTAGCCAGCTCCGCTTTCTCCCGGGCTCACTCTCCACCTGCTCCTTCACGTCAACTCCTGTGCAGGCTTTAGTGGTGTGTAGTGCCAATATGCACAAGCCTGACTCAGCCCCCCCAGGCACTCCGCAGTGCGGGCTCCCCGTGAGCTGATGGGCCGCATGTGCCCAGTCCTGCTCCGTTCAACGTGTGGGCCCATGCTTGCCCTCATGCTGTACCACACACAGAACAGCACAGAGGGCTGCAGTGGCCTCAAGCAGGAGCTGGAAAACTGAGATCAGCTGGCCGCCACCCCCACGCCAGGGTGGGCAAGGCCAGGAGGGGACCCCAGGGGTGGTGGCTGGTTGCAGGAGCACGCCCCGGGAATGGCAGCAAGGAAAAGTCACGACAAAGATGATGCAGCTGGTCCAGGCTGGTGGGCACTCACCAGGCCACAGAGATCCCACTGCAGCATTCTTGCTCTGATTCCACAGAGCAGGAAGCCAAGTTCTGGGGGAGACCTCGACTGTCCACAGTCACAGAACCTAGACCTGACCCAGTGTGTCCAACTCCACTCGGTGCTCGGAGGAGCACTACCACAAGGCTGGCAGGAAGATGCGACCCAGGGCACAGCTTTCTCTGTTACAACAGATCAGACTTGGAAGTAAAACACACAGTGATATATTTCCATCGGGCAGTGCAAGTGTAGCTACCTGTCAGATTCAGGGACTGAGAACTGTGACAGGAATCCTGGGGTCCTAGGTAACCTCAGAGAGCAATCTCTGTATAATAACCGACTCTCAAAAGCTTAACTTTGGTCCCGTAGAGGAAGCAAGACCTCTCTTGCAACGATCATGGTGCCACATCATGCAACCATGGCACCTGCCTCCCGCTGGCTGCAGAGAGGCCAGAAGCAGCAGCTGGGAGCAGGCCGGCTCCCCTGGCTGCCCGGACAAGCGTTCAGCTTCGTCCCTGTGCATATGCAGCTCATGCGCCTGCCCCGTAGGGAGGTGAGCAGCAGCCTTACCTTTTTCCCCGTCTGTTTCTCCACCATGTCGTTGCTGAGAGGAAAGTCTTCTGGCTGTGGGGTTTTAGAGCACCCACCCTTGGGCATCGTTCTGCTACCTCACGTGGTCTTCATTTACACCGCCGTCGCCTCATCGTCGACCGTCTGCGTCCAGAAAGGACAAAGGGTTATAGTCGTCACACTCAAGGAGAAGATGCAAACACTCCACCCTCCCCGCCAATCTGGTTCTTGGCTGTAGACAACCAGTAACCAGTTACCTTACCCAACAGAATGAACTGGAAGTTACCCGCTGTTTGTTGGTCACAGTTGTGGGAAAACAGGAGGCAGCTGTCCTGTTCCAGCACAATCTCCTGACGGCCCAGGCCCAGGGAGAACCAGGGCTCAAAGAATGGCTCGAGAACAAACGCTGGAATCCGGCTTGTCATCACCAAAGCCTGAGCACAGGAAGGGCGTGCTGAACGCACCACCCGGAAGGGCAGCCCCAACAGTGCTGGGATCTGCTCTTCATGAGGTAGAAAGGAACTGCATGAGCATGCCACAGCTGAAACAGGGTCTGCCCGGTCAGCCACGCTCTTCTGGTCTCAGGGCCAAGAGCCCCATCCATGCATAGGCCATGGCCCAGGCCCGGTCTTAGCTATCTCTGGTCACTCTTCTGCAAGGGTCAGAGGCCACACTTACTCTGTGGCTACCTAGCCCCTCCACAAAGCAGCCTGATGCAGGCACAGTCTATGACATCCAGATGAACCAGCCCTCACCTGGAACATGCACTCCACCGCTCCAACCTCCGAGACTCAGAACTTTATGAGCAGAACGTTCAGCTTCTGAAACGCACCATGCACTCCCAATAATTTGTGTTTATAGGTAACGAGGTACCATACCCACCTAATCACCTGAGGAAGTCCTGAGAACAGGAGCAGAGCAGCTACTGGGCACACTGGAAATGTGCAGCAAGGATGCACTCAGGGGGTTGGGAACCAGTCTCCCCACTCACCCCCAGCCCCTCACTTCTGTGCAGAGACCAAAATTAGATGCAGAGAAGCTCATGTGACCTGAAGCCAAGCAAACACTGTGGCTGGTGCTCAGCCTGCCTCACAGACACCAGCACCCCTCATGTGGTCATGCCCAAATGACGACACATAGGCCATGGGCTGCCAAGAGCACAGAGCTGCCCACTGTGGCCACTGGGTCTTTCGTGTGCTCTGACCTGCTGTGCATACGTGTGGTCACCTAGGGACAGGCTCTCTGCCATGTCCCCTGTGTGTGGCTCCCTTTCTAGTCCTCTGCTAGGGCAGGCCTGTATTCTTCTCCTTTTTTATTCGGACTGTGAGTGCTAAGAACGGTTTCACAGACATTCATTTCAGATCCTTTTTTAATTATTTTGTTACATTGTAACTCTGGTACTTATTATACCAAGTTGTTCTCCAGAAAGAATGAACAGATGAGCAGAGCCTAGAACCAACAACTGCAGCTCACACCCCTTTTAAAACAGATTTCACTTCTTTGGCAAGACAGGGGTGAGGGCTGTTACCTATTGCAAAACGTAACGGTAATAAGAATTTGTCAAAACGTATCAGTAATATGAATTTGTCCACAGGTTGGCCGATTATCACATCTGTAATATAGACACCCTACTGATGGTTGACACGCTAACCACTGTCAGAATAAGAGGTGGAATTGCATTTAAATGTGTGTATCAGTCACGTCACTCAGCAGGTTTTGGCCGAGTTGATTTATCATAGTTCCATTCCCTCCCTATTTAATATTTTTATTAAAGTGTTAGGTAACTGTAGATTGACACGAAGCTGTCAGAAATATTACAGAGATATCCTTGTACACTTTTGCTCAGTTTCCTCCAGTGGTAACACCCTGCAAAACTAGAGTATATATAGTACCACAACCAGGGAACTACCAGCAATGCAGTGGCAGTTCTGACTAGGTCATCACTAGGATCCCTCGAGCTGTCTTTTATAGCCACACCCACTACCCTCTCACCTCCACACCCCTCCTTAATGGCTGGTAACTATCGTCTCTACAATCTTGTCATTTCAGTAATGCTATGTAAATGGGACGTGTAACTTTTTGTCATTGGCTTTTTCGACTTAACACAATGCCCTTGAGATTTGTCTAAACTGTTCCAGTATCAGTATTTTGTTGAGTTTTATTACAAACATTCCATGAGTGGATGTACTACAGTTTGCTGAACCATCCTAACGCTGAAGATCTGTGATCTTTACAACTTCCGGCTTCCAGGTAAAGCTGCTGGAACATCCATGTGCAGGTTTCTGTGTGAGCGGCTCTGCTTCTCTGTGATAAACTCCCAGGAGTGCAGTTGTTGGTGCTATGATGGGTGCATGTGTTTTTTTTGTTTTTTTTTTTAAAAACTGCCAAACTCTCTTCCAGAGTGGCTGTGCCGTTTCACACTCCCACCAGGGATGTACGTAGATCACGCCTCTCTTCCTCCTCACCAGCATTCGGTGATGTCACTGCTTCAGTTTTGGTCCTCACAGGTGTGTAGCGATAGCTCAGTGTGGTTTTAATTTGCAGTTTTCTAGCAGCTAACAAGGCTGAGCATTTCCACAGGCTCATTATTTGCCATCTAGGTCCTCTTTGGTATAGTGTCCCTTCATATCTTTTGAACATGTTCTAAATGGACTGTCTGCTTTTTTGTTAAACAAATCTGTTGTGTTGTATGTATTCAGACCCTCATCTTTTGTCAGATGTGTGGTTTGCCAATATTCTCTCCCCGTCTGTAGCCTGTCTTTTCATCTCCTCAGGTGGGTCCTTTGCAGAACAGCAGTTTTTAACTCTGGTGCAAGCCTGTTGATCAGTTTTTCCTTTCAGGAATTGTGCTTCTGCTGTCAGTAAGAACTTGGCCTAGCCAAAGATCCTGAAAATAGTCTCCCCCCACTCCAAAAAAAGTTTTATAGTCTTACATATGATGTTTCAGTTCATGATCAAGTTTAACTGCACTCACTGACTGTTAAACATGGCACCAGCCTTGGAACCTAGAATAGTCATTTTCTATTTTGCTGGCCTCTGTTATTATGTTGTTGAGAATTTTTGCATCCACATTCATGAGAGATACTGGTCTGCAGTTTTCTCTTGTACACAGTCTTTGGTGTCAGGGTAATAGTGGCTTCATAAAAGGAGTCAAGACTGTTCTCTCCTCTTCTGTTTCCTGGAAGAGGGTGTGCAGAACTGGTGGTGATAATTAATTAGGTTTTCGGTGTCAAACCGACAGATTCAGAGTTCCTGAGGACGTATTTTGGGTTATGTTTTAAAAGGTGGGGATACGAGTGGATACACTGGGGCTGACCCAACCCCAGTCACTCACAGGGTTTCTGAGGGGTGGACATCAGGAGAGGACCATTTGGGGGTGCTCTGTGGCTCTGGACAGGACCTCACCCTCTAGTTTTACTATTCACTTTTTTCAGTGAGGAACACTCAGACTGAGGTTAGCTGTGTTCCAGAAGTAGACTTTGGCTCCTGTGCCTCCCTGGCAGGGCTGCTAGTCTCCCTGTCCTTTCTTTCCCATGAAGGCCCCCGGTAGTAGTGGGTACCCACTGTGACATGCAGCAGAAGGTCTTGATGACAGCATCTTGATCAGGAGGTCCATGACTCGAGTCCTTCTCCTCTAGACAGTTTTGAACCTGCCATGGCCTGGCTTCTGGGGCCTTCTTGCCCCCATACTCCACAGCTGAGTGAATGAGGTGTCCCCTGATCTCACCCTTGAAAGGCCTCTCCCAGGACGGAGGCTTGCCTATTTCTGCTGGACACATTCAAGGGCAGCCTAAAATCCCCTCATTTGCAAGTTGCCAGAATTGTAAACTCATTCAGTGGTCCACATAAGAACTGAGCACCCACAGAGCACTGGAGTTTGACAAAACACAACATCTAGCCTTCAGGGTGCCAACAGCACAGTGGAAAGAAGAGTTAACAGCTGTGGCAGATGGTGGCCAAGGACCGCAGGCTGGCAGGTTAAGCCTGGTTTCCCACTGCCAGCTTCTGTGTAGGGACAGTGGCTCAAAATAGATCCCCATTCCCTCACTTCCAAATGGGACAGCAGTGGAGGTCAGGGGTTTGGCAAAGTGTCTTGAGTCTGAAATGCTTGAGACGATCCAGCACATTCTGTGAAACTAGAGGCATGGACAGGTAACCCTGGGCACAAGGAGGTGGCCACCAGATGCCAACGGCAAAGTCACTGCAGCCTGGAGGGGAACAAACAGGTGTCCACAGCCAGGCCTCAGCCCTGGGCCCACCTGCCTCAGGTTCCAGTGCCAAGAGTATGTCCTTCTGTCCCCTGGGTGCCATGAACAGTACCACAGCCCTCATGAGTGCCCCACCTGCCCTTTGGAACCTCTGCTACAGTTCCTGCATCCACAGGGTCGAAAGACTGCCAGTTAGAAGGGGTGGTGACCTTCATCTATGTGACGGATTAAACCTGCCTCCTGAAGGGAGCAGGGCAGGACAGTGCTTCCTTCCAAGGCGGCTGCTAACCACATGCAAGTGTGAGTCTCAGTCACCATCACAGATGGAACAGTCAACCACAGGTACAGAGAGCCACGACTCCAGCCAGGCCCCACCCCAAAAAGATGCCTCTCCAGAAACCGTACCTGGGCAGCAGACAGGGCAGCCACTATGTAAAGCCTATGGCTGAGCAGAATCCAGGGAATTCTTGCCTCTTCCTGCCTCTTCAAGTGATAAGCTGATAGCAACAGACAAGGAGCATGTGAATGCCTCGGACTGGGCCACCAGGAAAGCTGCCAGACCAGGTCCGCAGGTGAGCTCCTTCGTGGCCAGAGGCAGGAGGCCACACTGGGACTTGGTAGCCAGACCTGCATTTTAACCCAGCCTGCCCTGCACGCTGCCAGCTGAGGCTTACACAGGATCAGAGAGCTTGACATTCTTAAAACTCAGAAAAGAGGCTGGAGGGTAGAGCCCCACCTTCAACACAGGGATGGTGTAGGAGCCATCTGTCTAAAACACTGGGGATAGCTTAACACCAAACCACCCACATAACTATTCACAGCTGACCTAAACAGAACCGACAGAATCTCTCTGCTCACGTGAGTTCAGCTGACTGAGTTGAACTCTGTAATCTTTCCAAGTTCTCAAAGGTCCAAGCACACTGTGTTAACCCAAGGT